TTGTTATTGTCAATGGCAATCTGACATGTCTGTGATACCGGGATGAGATCATTGGGCCTCATGTGAAGCTATTCATTCAAGGACAGAAATGTAACTTTACGCTTCAGCAAGATAATGCCTGTCTGCATGTCATTCGTGTTGTGACAGATTTCTGAGACAGCAGAACATTCCGGTTCTCCCCTGGCCAGTTGTTTCTCCAGACCTGCCCCTTATCGAGCACGCTTGGGATGAAATGGAGCGACGTTTACGTCAAGCCCAGAATCAGCTATTGACATTAGCTGAATTGGGACAAGCGTTGGTTCAGACATGGAACAACATTCTCAAAGCTTTCTTCAATCTCTTATTGTGGTCTATGAGTCGTCGTTGTCAAGCCTGCATCAACGCCAATGGTTGACACACACGATACTGAATTTGTGAACTGGCTTCTGATACCACATCTCTTCAAGGGCGTGTCACGATGCCTAGTGTCAAATCATACAGATTTCGATATTATCATGTCATCAGTTAAACAGTGATCAAGTAAAACACCACAAATCATGTTATTATCTTTTATTATCATTTAAATATGTCACAACATCAAATAATGCACAGTTACATTTTTCCTTATCCTGACTCATGATCTTTTGCTTATCTCCCTTTCCGTTTCGAATGGTAGTGGAACACTTGAATCCCTTGAAGTTCCCGAAGCGGACGTATAAATACACTCACCCACGAGTTACCTCCCTTTGCCCTTTCCCGCGCAAACCAGTCATGTGTCGTGCCTTACTTGTCACTCTCTCCCTTGGGCGAGCACTGGAGTCCGGTATACAGCATTATATCCTTTTATATTTAAGCCTATTCTTCAAAATTACGCTGTATATGGATTTGGCTGTAACTACTATGTAGTATTTGTAACATTTTGTATAAATTTATTGACTTTGAGTCGTGTTTTCATCGTCATGTAACATTGTTTACATTTCATGAAATCCTGCAGCGGTTGCAGGCACAGGTTATCCGTGGCTGATCCTCACCCCCAGTGTTCTTCGTGCATAAATCCATGTTCCTCCAGCTTGCGCTGTACTCATTGTACTGATTTATCTAATACAATTTAATCAATATTTGTCTTATGTTTATAGACGTGCCATGGATCGCGTTGATAAAACTGCAGATCAGCCTCCAAACCGTATGTTGCTTGCTACTGCCAATGTTCATAATACTGGTGCTATGCTTAGTACGTTACAGGGCCAGTCTGCTGGTAAGGGGGCCAAGAAGAGATCGTCTACATCTCAGTCGACGCCGTCTCAGACTAAGAAAAAGACGTCAACCTCTTCTACTGCGCAGAAGAAGTCTACGGTTACCAGATCGGAGGGCAAAGCTACGCGTGCGAACTCATCTACGCACCATAAATCCTTCAATGAAGAGATTGTACCTCCTCATGAACTAGACATTTTTGACGAACCCCCTATACTTCTACCTGAAGTATCTATGGGATCAGCGACGCAGTCGACCTCTACTACTACGAGATCGTCCCCTACTACAGTCACAGCAGGACAGCTGTTCGACGTACTACCTCTTACTTCTCAGATTGAAGTTGAGGCACAGAACCCATCAGCGTTCGCGAACGCTTCTCCTACACCGCAGCAGCGTCAACCTATGCAGAACTTCGACTCAGGGGAATTTATGACTCAATTCACCAACCAGATGATGGCCATGACGGAACGTAGATTCCAGGAGGAATCGAAGGCTAGGAAAGCCTCTCATCTACCGACACCGTGCGCAAACCCCCAGGCCTGCGCGAATCTACACCTATCAGATCTACACCTGAAGGCTACGTTCGCGAACGTACACCTCCGCTAAGGTCTCCACAGTCGGACGACTCTGTCATCTTGGAGGATAGAAGAGATGACGCACAATCTACGTTCGCGGACATCGAAGGATCCTGCTCCTACACCTGGCTGCTCTAGGTCGAGATGTCTTATCTCGCACAGACGTTCACGAAGCTACTCACCTCAAGCCAGACGTTCGCGAAGGGATAGTTCACTTCACAGAGGTTCGCGAAGAGATGTATCCACAGATAGTAGTTCTCGGACAGAACACTCTCAAGATAGACTTTCTGGTGTCCCCCGCCGTGATGTTGCTGGAATATTGCTAAAAGCGGCGTAAAACCATACTCAGTCAGTCAGTCCATTAACACTACGAACATGGCAATGCCTACTCGGTCTACTAACCTCGGCGCAGGATTTGACTCGCACAGGAAGGTTACAACTAAGACCGCTGCAACGGTTCCTGATAATATATTTAGACAGCGTCGACCTTATTTTGCTGCCGGAAAACCTCGGGAGGTATCTACTGTGGTTGAGGAACCTATTTACAAGAGCCGACCTTCAACACACATCTCTACGCAGATGCCTCGATGCAAGGATGGGGTGCGCATCTCAACGATCAAGTGGCGTTGGGAAAGTGGTCCAAAATGGAACAGCAGCTTCACATCAACGCTGCAGCTGTTGCAGCTCACATTCCAGTTGTTCCAGATTACGCAGGAAGCAAACGTCTGGATAAAGGCGTGTCACATACCCCGGAGCCAAGAACATACTGCCAGACGCTCTCTCAAGACCACTACACCCGTCACCTACGGAATGGATGCTCCATCCAAAAGCGTTTTGGAACTTAAGGGAGATGGGATCCCCTTCCACAGACCTGTTTGCCACGAGGTTCAACAAACAACTACAGACGTTTGTCTCGCCAGTTCCAGATACTCAAGCCTGGGCAACAGATGCACTGAGCATGTCGTGGGAAGGATTAAATGGCTACGCTTTTCCACCCCCAATACTACTGCCAAAAGTACTGTTCAAGATCAAACAGACTCAGACGCTACAGCTGACTTTGGTCTTGCCCTATTGGCCAGCGAGAGCATGGTTCCCAGACCTAATAGAAGATCTCGGAAACCCAGTAATCAAATTACCAGATTGGCCGAACCTACTAATATATCCGCACACCAAGCAAGTCCACGGAAACCCAACAGTGTTCCAGTTACATCTGTGGACCGTATCAAAACGCGTGCTTGAAGATAAGAGGATACTCTCGCCAGGGTAGCCAAAGCAGTAACGCTTAGCGTTACGCAGATCGACTCGTAACCTATATGACAACAAATGGCTGAAGTTTGAGACTCATGCAAGGCGGAAAGGCTTCACAGCGATGATAGCCACTCATCCTCAAGTGGCAGAATATCTGTGTCATCTTAGACAGACCAGACATCTGAAGGGTTCGACACTATCTACATACCTCGCTGCAAACAGTACAGTGATTACGATGAAAACAGGCATCAAGTTGACGAAAGTACCAGAATTACTTGCTCTGCTGAGATCTTTTAAGCTGGAGGACCAGCAAAAGAAATTCAGAGCTCCAGCCTGGGATCTAAATGTAATTCTGCGTCATCTAACCAGTGATGTCTATGAACCACTAGATCAGATCAAGCTGCTAACACAGAAGACGCTGTTCCTGCTAGCGTTAGCCACAGCAGCTCGCATATCGGAGATACATGCGCTGGACTATGGTCGAACCACATTCGACAGAGGGCAACATAATGCAGTTCATCTAGGACTTAGATGGGACTTTATTGCCAAGAACCAGCTACCTGGTCAACCAGATAGACAGTTCCACGTACCAGCGCTGTCTACAGTCATCGGTCCACAGGATATGGAGGACTTATCCTTGTGCCCAGTCAGAGCCCTGAAGATATATCTTCAGAAGACTGAAACGAGGAGACAAAAATTCAAGCGCCTATTCATCCCATTATCAACAGAGACTTAGGCAGAAGTCTCAAGAACGACCATATCGTTCTGGATGAGAGCCGTTATATTGAGAGCCTATAAAGCAGCAGGACTAGAACCTCCTAGAGCTTCCAACCCACACGAAGTCAGAGCACTGGCGTCAACACTAGCTCTGCACGGAAATTGCTCTATACCGACAATTATGGAGGGCTGCTTTTGGAAGTCGGACACGGTGTTTGCCAACCACTACCTCCGAGACATAGCCTCTGAAGATGTCTCAGGCATTCCCCAATTTGGGCCTCTCGTTGTAGCACATCAACTAACGGTTCCTCAACGTTAAATCTCACCCTTTATCACGCTGACTTGTTGATAACTTTTACTAAGGAAAGTACTAGTTTGAAAGTCCATGCATACAGTCTAAGACAGGCTAGCATGAGTGATTAAAGATCCTGTACAGGTAAAGATCTTACCTGGACGTGAAGGGGTTGCAACTCATTTATGATAAAGATCTTATCATAATCTATGGGTTGTTATAAGATATCTAGTAATAGGAGAATACTAGTTTATCTGTAGCCACATGAATCAACAACTTGTCCGAGATTGAAGTAAGGCAAGAAAGTGGTCCCCACAAGTTATAACGGAAGTTGGAAGAATAGGATCACGGAAATGCCATTTGCAGTTCCCATGGGGGGGGGATACAGGACGTATCTAAGGACAGCTGTTGAATCCAGTGGCTTGACCCACCACCTATCCGTCGGATTCTATAAGCGAAAGATCATGAGTCAGGATAAGGAAAAATATGTACTTTTTAAAGTAAAATTGATATTTTATACTTATCCTGACTCATGACGAACAAGCCCTCCCAACCTCCCCGTTGAAGACACTTGAGATTTCACAGCAGATCCAAGTGCATGGGCGGAAAACAAGGAGAGAGTGACAAGTAAGGCTGGTTTGTGCGGGAAAGGGCAAAGGGAGGTAACTCGTGGGTTAGTGTATTTATACGTCCGCTTCGGGAACTTCAAGGGATTCAAGTGTTCCACTACCATTCAAAAGGGAAAGGGAGATAAGCAAAAGATCATGAGTGAAGATAAGTATAAAATATCAATTTTACTTAAAAAATTACATTTTATTCCAATAGTACATGATTGAAATCCAACAACATAGATTGTTGTCTGAAATGTCGTATAAAGAATAAAAAAAGAAGATGTTATCCATAAAACATGTCATGTATTCAGATCCATTGTTCCTTAGGTGTGCCAGTGTATGAACTGTGGCCGTTTGACACTGGGAAGGCTCTGACAGTGAAGCCAGTCGGTCAGAAGAAGAGGAGAGAAGCTGGTAAACATCACCACATTCAGAAGAAGACAAAATCAGGTAAAACTTTGGTGTTACAGACTTTACTTCAGATTTAAAGTTTTGTGACTCAAAGATATATACACCTTTACGACAAGAAATATAGACATTGAAGGTTACTATACTGTGAAATGATATATCCAAATTAAACTTTGTGGTTAGTGAGATCCCAATTACACATTATGTCATGGAAGTGTTGTCAGAGTGTCATCATAACGGTAGAATTTGCAGACAAATGCGACAATTTTCATTATGTTTATCAAACTACATGTTTGCTTAGTATTACCAAAGAAGGTGACCGCCTCAGTGGTGTAGTGGTTAGAGCGTCCGCCTAGAGAGCGGAAGGTCGTGGGTTCGATCCCCAACCGCCTCACGTAAAACCCAATTTCACCTCACCTCACCTCACCTCGCCTACTAAAGAAGGTGGGTTATTTTTTCATCTTGTCTTTTTGTCATTTCGTGACATGACAAAAATCATATTTTAACACATAGCTGAGTCTCTATCTTTTAAGCCTCTGAGTGAAACAGACATCTTTGGTAAGGTTAAATGGGTTTAACGTCGTACTTGAGAATATTTCGCTCATATGACGACGTGCATGCGTGTGTATGTTCGGCTGCTTGTACTAGCCCAGACTTAAGCTGGTTATATAGTGCTAGCCCACTGAGATATAATGCCGCAGTGAGGCATGAATACCCCACTCAGACACATTGTACTGACCCCAAGCCGACCAGTCCTTGTTGAACCCATTAATGCCGAGCGCCAGGCAGGGGCCAACAAGTACCATATTTTAACGTCTTTTGGTATGATGCGGCCATGGATCGAACCTGCGACCTTCCGCTCCCCAGGCGGACACTCTAACCACTACACCACGGAGACGGTCCTGTCATTTTATGAAATTATTAAGCTACCCACTATGAATTTATCGCAGCTGTATTCAAATATTGTTTGAACATGGAGACTAAATAATCATGTGGATTTAGGAAATCAAAAGAACCGTCATCCCACAACCACACCTGGGACAAAGACCCCCCACACCTGGGACAAAAACACCCACACCTGGGGCAATGACACCCACACCTGGTACAAAGACACCCACACCTGGGACAAAGATACCCACACCTGGGATAAAGACACAAACTGGGTTGAAGAGAAAGAGAGAAGAGGAAAATGAAGGAAGTAATGGTGGAGAGAAGGTGCAACGGACGAGTGAAAGTGAGGCTGGATCGAAGACGTTCAAACCCTTTGAGTGAGTGTGTGTTTTGTTTCCAAGTTTTAGTTGCAAATATTGAGAGGAATAGAGTGTCCTTCGAGATCAACGACATCAATATGATGTGGTATAAGAGTTACTAATATATAGGTTTGACCAGCCTTGTCATTTTCGATCTCGATCGTTTTCTTTGACCTGCCAAACATTGTTAGCGTCTAATATTAAGATGATATAACTTTATTATCCCGGAGGAAATTCTTATACATCCAAACTGTCTTAAAATGAATATATACACAATTCACAAAAATATACACAATAATTACATGCACAAAACTGAAGCTATTTACACAATAAAACTGACATCATATAATTCAATAAACCACATAGGTAAAGAGGCTGAATAATTCTAGTTGTAATCACATGATGATAATTCAAAATATTTGTTGCATTCACGAATACTTGACCGTATGAAAGGCTGTCGAGCTCTGTTTGTTTTGAGGGAAGGTAATCGACAGCAGCGTCCAGAAAGAAGTAGTTCAAAATGGTGAGATAAAATATGTTAACTATCAAATCTAATTTTAGTTGCCTTTTTGACAGTCTGGCGCTCATAGATAAAGGGAAAATACTCGAAAGACACTCCAGCAATTTTGCTGGCAGTATTAACAAGTTTGATAAGTTTGTTTTTGTTGCAATCAGACAGACCCCCATACCAACACAGAAAATTGTAGGTCAACACACTTTGAATAAAGGTTTGATAAAAAAACTGTCATTACGGTTTTGTCAGTGCCTTGACGATAATAATGTTCAGTATCAGAAATTAGGCCAGTAACAGTGGGGTCATCTACTAATTTCACAGTAAACAAGTCATTTAACGACAAGTAACTGTCATCGGTATACAAAACGAAGAGTACAGATGAAAGAACACAGCCCTGTGGAGCTCCAGTAGAGGTTGAGAGAAAAGAAGATTGATAGCCATTGACACGGACATACTGAGTTCTATGTACCCTGAATTCTTTAACCCATCTGATAATGTTTTCATTAACACCTAGATTAAATAGTTTACTCCTCATAAGGTGTAGCTGTATGGTATTAGTTGTCTGCAGATGAGAGTAAATATTATACATCATTTGAGATTTCACTTCTTTATATGATCAGGTAACTATCTTAATAGACATGGAGAATGATAAAAAATCAAATGTATGGGCGTGTCTTGATCTTGATAGTGAAAAGAGAAAAATAACCAAATGCCGCCTGTGCGGTATATCGCTGCGTTATGCAGGCAGTACAACCAGTACGATGAAAAGAACATTTGGCAAGTAAACATCCAAATACTGATTCTGACCAACAGGAAATGTTAGTCACACGACGATATGAAGCCGGAATGAAGTAAGTGTTCACTTGTGTTTGATCGGAACACATGTCATGCTGGTTACGCTATTGTTCGCTTGAAAGGTATGAATTTCGAGTACTCGGGTCCGAGCCGAGTCTCACCCCTCGAGTACTCGAGTCCAAGAAAATGGACTCGTTGAAGCCCTAGTGGTAACCGATGTTGTCACATTGACCTGCTAGGCATTGTGATGCACTTTATAGTAGTGTTGGGAATTGGTTAAAATCTCATAATTGCTGATTGGTTTATTACAACTGATCAATCATCGAAAAAAATTGGTTAGCGTCATTAATGAAATTTGTTAATGCACATAAAAATAAGAAAAACATGTAGTTCTTTTGGATTTTTTGGCAAAATTTCACATCTTTAAAGAATGACTAGTATGTCAGGAACATAAATTTCTTGGAGTCTTTAAGATAAATTCAATCATGACTTGAACCGAACTTCTAGTGCTTATGAAATGTAACAGACAAAACCAACCTTGTGAAAAATATTGTTTATGAAAACACGTGTTCCAGAATTGTTTGTGTTCGATTATGAGAAAACATGATCGATTGCTTAGTCGTTTAGTCACTGCGACCAATCTTCGAATATTTCAATTAATCGGACCACCATTACTTTATAGATCTCAAGATCTCTTGAACTCATCCAAGTGATATCTCCAGTGGCATCAAGTTGTATGTGATATATATGTTTTACAATATTGATCTATGAGCTGGAGGCATGCCAATGCTGATTTGAAGATGTAATTGTTGAATTTGTTTCATTCTATTGGAATTATGTTATGAAGTTCAACACTTTTATGGTAAGCAGCAAGATAAATCTAGCCTCATTTGTTACAAGGGTGGATTATATTTTTGAAAATTCTTACAGAGTTCCAGTATGAAATGGAAGATATTGTGCAGCATGTGATTAGTTGTAAATTTGGGATACATCAGTCAATCATCCTGACACAACTACTTTTTTATCAGGTCTGTCAAAGTTTTAGATGATGTTTTTTCTTCTGTTTTTGTGTAACAATGTTTCGGGATGGTTATTGCCACATTAGCTGCAAGAATTGCTGATGCAGCAATAATAAGTTTATTAGTAGTCTCTTCCACAACTGTTCCTGATTAATTTTCAGTTTCCACTTGCCAGTCCCTCGCCATGTGATGATGTACAGTAAAGATCTACGAGAACACCTGCCCAAGTCTTGTAAGCTGATGTTCTGATTGGTCCAAATGTAACGCATGCAACAATTCCACGATGAGGCGATTATGATAGATATCATGAATATTGGGTGACAAGTACAAATGGGGCGGTGAGGTAGCCTAGTGGTTAAAGCTTTACCTTGTCACTCCGAAGACCCGGGTTCGAATCCCCACATGGGTACAATAAGTGAAACCCATTTCTGGTGTCCCCCGCGGTGATATTGCTGGAATATTGCTAATAGCCGCGTAAAACCAAACTCACTCAGTCAGTCAGTCAGTCAGTCAGTCAGTCAGACAAGTACAAATGTTAGGAAACAAATTACTACTGTAATAATACATTATACAAAAATGTAGAATTTGACATGTTTTTTGCCATGTTGATAGTGTTACCATGACAATGACCAGTGACCATATTTCTGTCACTTGAGTGTTGACTGTTATGCTGCCTGGCTTCAATATATTTCATTTGGCATATCTCACTTTGAAAAGTAACACCCAAATTCAATTTTCAATAAAAATATTCGATTCTAATTTCCGCAGAAAACAAATGGAATTAGTTCAAGGATATGGTTTGAGTCATTTGTTTGTCGTTTAACGCCGCACTAAGCAATATTCCACCTATGTGGCAGCAGTTCATAAATAATCAAGTCTATAAGATGCAGCATATTCCAGTAGAGAATAATGTAGACCAGACAATCCAGTGATTGATGTGAATAGCAACGATCCCTGCAGCTGAGTGAGTGAGTGAGTTTAGTTTAACCAGACAATCCAGTGATCAACTTCATGAGCATCGTTACATGCAATTGGGATACAATGACATGTGTCAATAAGGTCAGCGAGCCTGACCACCTGCTCATGTTAGTCGAATCTTACAGCAAGCATGGGTTGCAGAAAATCAAATCCAGCGATTCCAACAATAATAACAGCGCGCTAGTGGTCAGTGGTTGATGTTGCAGTAGGCTGTGCAGGGATGCCTTGACCATTCCGCAACTCTCCTAACAGACACAGATGAAATAAGTCTAAAAGATTGTCAATACATCAGCATTCTGTTACTCCTAGTCTTGAATTTGGTAACATTTGGTCTTCAGATCAGTAAATCAAGACATTAAATAATAATATTCTAAAACTAGAGCTTATATACCATGCTGTACATTTTGTATTTTGGGTCTTTTTAATCAAGTCGTAAACACCGATGTTGAATGATGTCATTGGCTTTGGTGTCACTGATTAGAAATCATAGTATTAAAAATACTGACTGACTGAGTTTGGTTTTACGCCACTTTTAGCAATATTCCAGCAACATCACGGCGGGGGGACACCAGAAATGGGCTTCACACATAGTACCCATGTGGGGATTCGAACCCGGGTCTTCGGCGTGACGAGCCAACGCTTAACCACTAGGCTACCCCACCGCCCCGTATTAAAAATAGATTACTTGTAACAATGAAATATTTGTTCTATATTCTTTATGTGTAGATGGAAGAATCCTGCAATTAATAAATTTGCCGCTATATATGAATTTGGCTGAAGCATTAAGTGTTTAGAACTGTGGGGTTTTTTTCTGTTTTTATTGTCCGTCTTAACCATGGTCATCTCACTAAATGTAAACAGTTCTGTGACAGTATTATCTGCTTGGTATTTATAGTCATAAATGTGATACAGAATCGATAATATATATATATGTATGTACCAAGTTAAAGTACTGGTGATAAGATGAATGATGAGCGGGAGTCTTGTGCCTGCTGCAGTCTGCCTGAGTGGCCTGGAGCCGTCTGTGGAGGGGGGCACCTGCCTCAGTGACCAGATCCTCCATCACACCTGTGTTGTCCTGGAGAGGACGGAGGACACAGCTGACACACACACAACACACATTGGTCCTCTGTGTCAGCAGATCATACAGAACCACAGGTGAGGGATTTTCTCATACACAGGTTACCAGTCAAGGAGTGACCAGTCAATTATTTTGGAAACCGAGGATTTCTGTTAGCGACAATATGTTTTAGCTGCTCCAAGCCATATATTTAAGGGGAGATTGGGGAGCTGAAAATATCTTTGGGCACAACACTTCAATGTCAAAGGACATCCAAATAATATGAAAATGTAACAATTTTAGCAGTCCTATATCCTGTCTCACTGCTTACTGGTGAATGACAATTATTTGACAGATAACAGGATATATCAAATATACTTCTCTTTCGATAGGGGTATATCTATTTTTCCTTGATACACAAAACTGATTCTTGTGATATGTCAAGTTAGATTTTCATAGGATGGCATAGCAAATATCTCTATCAAAAGTTCAGTAGTACATTGTGTTTGTATGCCCAGTGCTCATATGGTCTCTCCAACTGTGTGCAGCCACTGGAGTGAGTGAGTTTATTTTGACGCTGCTTTAGCAATATTCCAGCAAGATCACAGCAGGAGACACCAGAAATGGCCTTCACAAATTGTGCCCAAACCTTAGTCTTTGGTGTGATGAGTGAACACTTTATTTGATTGTAAGAGCTAGATTTACCTTATAATTGTAGGAGCTAGGGTTTACATTAGAATTGAATAAACAGTATGAGTTTTCAGTTGTCAGTTGTCTGCATGCTTGCCATGGTCGGTCTTTTTCTTGCCCATTGTCGTCAAATTTGTTTTATACCACAACTACTGTGTTGTTTCACAAAAGCAATATTTTTCCTTATCCTGACTCATGCTTATTGCTTGTCTCCCTTTCCTTCCGAATGCTAGTGGAACACTTGAATCCCCTTTTGAAGCTCCCTTCAAAAAAGCGGACGTAAAATCACTTACCAGGAGTCATCTCCCTTCCCCAGGTTTTGGCGGGAAACGGCGCCACCTGTCACCCATGCTCCTCACTCTCTCCTGATTCACCTGAGTGGGCGGTTGTGAGAGCACCTGGTCCCCTATACGGCATTATATCCTTTTATTATTTAGGCCTTTCTTCTAAATTAGCTGTATAAGGCTTTAGTTAACATTTACCTACAATATTCTACGGAATTAATTTTCAAATTTCTCTGTTTTATCGGGTTTCTACGTGACTGTTCAGATTGTTTACAATTGATGAATTCTTGTTCTGATTGTAAGTATCGTTTGTCTGCTGTTGATCCGCATAACCTATGTCCTAATTGCAAGACCGCATGTTTATCTAACTCTCGTTGTCAGTTGTGTTTTCACCTGTCGGAAATTGCATGTTATAAATATTCATATTATCTGTCTAGACGTGCAAAGGACAGGTCCAGACGAGATTTACACGACATGTCTAAACCGGCTAAGCTTGCAGAGGACCGGCAGTTGGTGTCTGCACAGATTCACCATCCCAGTGGTCTACCAGGGTCGTCTATGGAGGAGGTTGCCCGCCGTAGACAACGCTGGCTCGAGGAAGAGGTCATCTACATGTGATACACCCTCTTCGCAGTCTAAGAAGACTAGTGCATCATCTTCCCAGAGAAGAAGTCAGCTACAACTAAGACTTCGTCGAAGTCTCGACACGGGGCAACGCAGAAAACGAGGTCCTTTTCGGCTGAGATCGTCCCTCTGGAAGAAGTAGATCCCTGAGATCACATCTTCTACCGTGACCATGCAGGACAACCTTTCAATTCAGACGTTCGGCAGAGAGGTTCAACGCCCTTCAGAAGAAGCCTCATCTGTCTCAGATGCGTCGTCATTACAACAGACAACGCAGACCTTCAACCCGGGCACCTTTATGCAGCAATTTACCCAACAGATGTTGGATCTGACGGAACAACGATTTGCACGCGAGAGAGCTGCGACGAAGACGACGTCTGCGACGAACCTGAATGAAGGTCAATTGAGCTGCACACCACGTCCGTTGGGAACCAACGTCCTGCAGAGCGTACATGAAGATTCCACGTCCGCACGAATATCTGGCAGCCAGACCAACGTAGAACCTGCACCGACTATGTTCGGCGGAAGGACTAGACTTTCACCGAACCCACAAAGATCATCATCGACTTCAGATACGGACATTCGTGACGAACCTGCACGTAACGGTTCATTACCAAGGAGAAGAGAATCGACACCTGTACGAAGGCACAGAGATTCGTCACAAGACTCCAACCCTGGACAAAGCCATTGCCTACACGCAGGTTCGCTCGAAGGCGCGCACGATCATCTCTATCTCCACGCAGGTCCCCACGAAGGAAGTCACAAACACATTCATGAACGTATGGTTCGCCACGAAGGTCACCACGCAGGTCTCCATACAGATCACCACGCAGGTCACCACATAGATCGTCATACAGATCTCCTTACATATCTCCTCGTTCAGACGACACTAGAAGACATCTATCCTCAGAGCAGGAAGATGATGGCGGAATTATATTTTCCGACTCGGAAATCAAGTCATGGATGGCCAATGGTTTGGAACTCGCATCACCCTCTAAGGAGACCAACGAAGCACTATCGTACTTGATGTTGAATGATGATATAGACACACTTACGATGCCACCTATCGACCCTGTCTCAGACGTTCCAGACAACCTCAGCGCAGCCTTCAAGAAGGCAACTAAATACCAGACTCAGAGTATTCCGTCGTTCAACGCAAAGAAGTTCTCTCTACACCATATGGAACCCTTCATGAAGGCCCCAGAGATAGATGAGAATTATAAGATCATCAACGACTCTCGGACGAAATCTTACAAGATAGAAGATAAAATGCTGGCACAGTTAGACACAGTAACCAGACGAACCTTCTTCGGCCTAGCCAGGTCAAGAGCTGTCAACGAGACCCTTATCGCGAAGTTTAAAAACTCAACTTCAGAGGAAGATCGAATGGTTTATTCAGCTCTACTTACACAGAAAAAGGATCATCAGTTCATGTCTGAACACCTATCATCCATTTCTGCAGGCTTAACATTATCAAGAAGGCAAGGACTGTTATCCCCCTGTACTTGGAGCGAGAAGTTTACCAAGACACTCTACAGAGCCCCTTGGTCAGCACCATCCATCTTAGCAGGAGAAATTGATGGAGTCGCCAAAGAAGTCGCTAAAGATTCCAGAGAGGTGATAATGATCAAGTCTATCGATACACTGGCCAGTGTGATACGTCAGACCTCCCAACGTTATTCCGGCAAATCGAAGTTTGCAGGAATCCAGAGAGCAAGGGATAAGAAATTAGGCAACGCTAAAGAGAATAAGGATTCTTTTTGTCTCCCATCCGCAGCTCCAAGAGGTAACTACGGAAGAGGTCGGCCCTTTCGAGGTGCCAGAAGTTCCAGACGATGAAGAACGGGTTCGGAACGACTGGAGTCTTCCACCCCCAGCCGTTCCAGTACAACCTTCACAAGTGGGTGGACGTCTGCAACTCTACTGGAAGAATTGGGGAATTCTTCAAGACGACTTAGTAGCTCAGATTCTAGGCAAAGGTTACAGGATACAGCTACAAGCAGTACCACCAGTAACAATCAACCCACTGGTTCACAACTACGCTGCAGACTAGAAGGGAAATCTACCAGAAACCATCACATCTCTACTAGAGAAAGAGGCAACAGAAGAGATAAAACAGGACTGCGTCACACCAGGTTTTTACTCCCCAATTTTTCTGGTACCAAAGAAAAATTCAAAAGAAAAGTTCCGACTCATTTACAACATGAGGAAATTCAACAAAGATTACCTGCTAACACCCGCAAAGTTCAAGATGATACATCTACCACAACTACGACATCTCATACGTCCGCTAGACTACCTCGCCAGCATAGATTTACAGGATGCATACTTACACATCCCGATCCATCCGGAATCAAGGAAATATCTTCGATTCCTGTTCAACGGACATCATTTCCAATGGAAGGTCCTGCCATTTGGAATATTGTCGGCCCCCTGGTTGTTTACTCGAGTGACAAAGCCCATCCATATATATCTACATCGTCGAGGTCTACGCAGTGCGTTCTACCGAGACGACGGGATTCAAGCTCAGCAAGATCCCAGTCAACTCAGACTGCAATTGAACTTCACCATCAGACTTCTCACTCAACTAGGATGGCTAGTAAATCTCCTCAAGTCGGAACTAGAGCCTACTCAGGACTTACAATTCCTAGGAATACGGCTTATAACAATGAAGAATCGCATTCTTGTTCCAGGGGATCTTTGGATCAAGATACAACAAATGATCTCTCAAGTTCTACTCTCTCAGTTACCACTACGAGAATGGCAGAGCCTATTAGGTCTCCTCACGTCAGCTCAAGACATGACGCGCAGAGGAAGACTACAACTGCACCCACTACAGAGATTTGTGAACGTTCATTTACACAGTCTGGATCCCTTCAAAATACCAGACAGACTAAACCATATCTACTATGGTGGACTCAGAAGTCGAATGTTTGCAGCGGAAATTACTTAGTAGAGCCGGAGGACCGGAGGACACACGTCACAACATAGTTCATCAAGGATTGAGGTGGGATTTCATAGCCAAGAATCAACTGCAAGGTCAACTGGACAGACAATTCCACATCCCAGCTTTATCTACAATCCTTGGACCACAGGATATACAATATTTATCCTTATGTACAAAATTTATTTACAAAATTCCAAAACCAGGAGACGAAAATTCAAACGCCTTTTCATCCCCATATCGTCGGAGACACCCACAGAGATCTCACGTACTACGATATCAGTTTGGATGAGAGCAATCATACTACGAGCCTACAAGGCAGCAGGACTTGAGTCTCCACGAGCCTCCAACCCGCACGAAGTTAGAGTATTGGCATCTACACTCGCTCTACATGGAAACTGCTCAATATCCACAATAATGGAAGGGTATTTTTGGAAATCAGAGACAGTGTTTGCTAACCACTACCTCAGAGATATCGCTACCGAGGATGTCTCCGGTATCCACCAGTTTGGGCCTCTGGTTGTAGCACAACAGCTGACGGTCCCGCAAAGGCGCT